AGGGGGCGGGGCTGTGCCGGAGCAGGGGGCGGGGCTGTGCCGGAGCCAGGGAGGTGAAGGACTAGTTGACTAGTGGAGTATCTAGAGGACTAGTCATTCCCCCCTCCCCCTTGCTGCCTCTGTCAGAAAGGGGCAGCAAGGGGGGAAGGGGGGGGGTACTTCAAAGCAGCAGCGCCGTGTGGAGCCTGGGGCCAGACCCCGACTCTCTGCCCTGGTGAGGTTCCTTGCGGTGTTTCAAAGCAGCAGTGCCGTGTGGAGCCCAGGATCAGCTGGAGTCCCCAGCTGACCCCGGGCTCCTTGGGCGCTTTCGCCTTTGAAGTGTAGCAACAGCCCTGGGGAATCGCCCTATCGACTGATCAAAGGGTTGATGCGAAATGCACCGACTATTTGATTTAGTCAGTTTTGGGCGCTTTCGCCTTTGAAGTGTAGCAACAGCCCTGGGGAATCGCCCTATCGACTGATCAAAGGGTTGATGCGAAATGCACCGACTATTTGATTTAGTCAGTTTTGTTCTTGTTCACTTAAAATCTACAAGTACATTTAAGATGTCTTAAAACATGATTATATACTGTACAGTAGACAAACTCTAAGAGAAGGTCAAAACTATATAAATATCAAAAGAGTCTCCTAGCATCCCATTTTAGTCTTCCATTCTTGCAGGTAGTGATCAGTCAGTATAATTGTAATAGTAGGTAGCTTCAATCCACTCCATTTTCAACCAGTGCACCCAGGTTTTTACATGTTAATGTAGCTGACCAGTGTTAGAATACTTCTAAAGTGTCACAAGTCTTTCCAAGTGCTCAGCTACCTCCCTTCCAGAGATTATGCCTTGTCCTACCATATATCCCTTCCTCTCCTCTTCTCTTACAGGCTTTTAGACAAAGTTTCTCATTCCCGTAAATATTTTTAAAGCTACTGGGGGGAGGAGGAACCCTACAGTATAAAAATACAGCTGGACAAATACATTGTGGTCATAAACCAACATATTGTCTGCGCCATCATCCTAAGTAAATCCAGACCACTGATGTACTGCCAACACTTTAACAAGAAACTCCCAGTCACACAACATGTTCCCTCCCTGCCTGTAATAAACTCCTTGTAATGAGAAGTGTATATATATGGGAAACTAAGAAATCTGGTTATTTTTCCCTCTAGTTAAATGAAAGTACTTTCTTGTAAGTCTTAACTACGCATGGAGCCAATGCTAGTGTGTCAAGTTCATATACACATTTATAGGTTATGCCTACTTTAGGAAAGTGTTTGACATGTGCAATCCAAAGTATGTGAGATGGCCTTTTAGGGGAAATGTACTGTGGGGATAATCTGTTACAAATATGTCTACAGATACATGCAATCTTTTCCATTCCATTGAGCACTGCACTTGATTTTTGGAACCCCAGCATGATTTAGCAGCATTGTGGGATGTTTAGTTTGGGTGAATCATATTAAAATCAAAGTCAGTTTAATTTTTCTTATTTTTTGGCATTGAGTGTAGCTCATGCTCTCTCTTCTGTTCCAAACTGTCAAGCTCCCATCGGCCCTTATTCTGGGCTGCTTAAATCCATGATTGTGGCATTTTAATCTCAGGTGCTCTTCATGCCACTAAAGGAGTCACCTGGGTGCAAGTGTCTTGTGAGGAGTGGGGGCCAGACTCAGAATCTGTGGCTCTAAAACCCAATTCTGTTACCTCTCTGCCAATCGCAGACTCATAAATCTTTCTGTGTGGTCCAGCTGTGAAAGGTGACAGAGAGCCACAATGTGTAAATGTGAGTTACGCGAGCATAATGGTAGGTTTGGTTACAAAGGGTTGAGTTTTTTAAGCACTGAGGGAAAGAATTGGGCATGTGCTTTTTTTCTATTGCTGCTCTATTTTCTATAAAAGAAATATTTGGATTTGAATTAAGTAAATAAAACACCAACTAAAGCTAAACTGCAATAAGACCCTTAGATTCTGAAATCAGTGTGTTCATACCAGGCTTCCACCACAATAAATGTCTGAAATATTTGGATTTGAATTAAGTAAATAAAACACCAACTAAAGCTAAACTGCAATAAGACCCTTAGATTCTGAAATCAGTGTGTTCATACCAGGCTTCCACCACAATAAGAAAGAGAGTGGATTGAAACAGATTCATTTATTTTAGGATCAGCTTGTTGATCAGCCCTCAGACTACTTAAAACCCTGGTGGTGGGGGGAGGGGTCTTTTGGTTGGTTGGTTGTTGGAGACAGGGCAGCAGAGGAGGGTGGGAGGTTGGGGCAGCAGGCACCGGGGAGCTGATGGAGCCAGGGGAGGAGACAGGGCAGCAGAGGAGGGTGAGGGGTTGGGGGCAGCAGGCACCAGGGGAGCTGATGGAGCCAGGGGAGGAGTCAGGGCAGCAGAGGAGGGTGAGGAACTGGGGGGCAGCAGGCACCGGGGAGCTGATGGAGCCAGGGGAGGAGACAGGGCAGCAGAGGGAAAAGGTCGAGGGTTATAAAACATTTATTAATACTTGGTCTGCTGCCCACGGCCAGTGTGTTTGTGCCCCGTGGTGCAGGTTGGGTTTCTGTGGCTCTGCAGGAAGGCAGCCCGCACTGCCCCCTGCCTGAAACCTTGTGCAGGTGTTGAACAGCTGTCCAGCCCACCCCAGAGGTGACTGCATTTCAGCGTGCCTGAAGCAACACTGCACCAGCAATGGACAGGAGAGTGGCTCCCGGGCGTGGCTTGCTCCACTGCTTCAGTCCTGTTGCATGGGCCTCCGCCTCTTTCCTTCCCCTCCCCCACTTTGCAAGGACAAGTGAGGCAGAGACCGGCCCTGTGGGGTGAATGAGGTGGGAATGGAGGGGGCGGAAGGTGACACCTCTGGGCAGTTGCAAAGGCTGGAGAGGGGAGGGAAGCCAGATCCAAGATCAATGAGCCCTGGGCAGTGGGCCCGTTGAAAGGAGACTGGACCTGTGGATGCCTTGGGGGTCTGCAGCAAGGGGCGGCTTTGGGAAGCCCCCTCTTTGGAGGTGAATGCCGCAGCATGGAGACACCACCCAGAAGCAGGCGCCACAGACACTAACTGCAGAGTCGTGGGACGGCTCTCACAGATCTTGCACATGCACGAGATGATAGCTCCGGGGGCGGGAGGGCGGAGGGGTCAGTTGCCCCTGGGAGAAAAATAATATAAAATGTAGTTAAAAATAGATGTCCCACGTTTTAAAAAGGAATCCCAGATCTCCTGCCTTTGGTCTGTTTTTGTCTCTTTAGGCCCCCAGTTAACATTTTCAAAAGCACTTGAGTGATTAAAGTCATTTTTGAAAATTGGACTAGGAAATCTAAGCTCAGATTTTCAAAGGTAATTAAGCTCCTAAAGAGACAGTTGCCAACTCGGATCTTCAAAGATACCTATCTGATCTTTACACACCTTTGAAAATCTGGTCGTAAGTGTCCTAGTCAGTTCGGAATGTGAGATGGAGGAGCCCAGGCCTAATTCCTTCAGGCTTTTTTTTTTTTTTTTTTTGAACATTTATCTACACTAATTCCTCTCCTTTCTCTTTCACTATCCAATAAATGCCTGGATCAAAATTATAGGTGCTTTGTGAATACGCTGATTTAAGAGTGGAAAGATTTCATATTGTCATGTATGATTCCTGGTAACCCGTCTCAAATATGAAAAACTAGGTTGATACCTGTTCATATGAGGAGCTGTTGAAATCAGTTCACCATTTGCAGTATCTCGTTAGGATGTTTAGTGGAGAAGATATTGTGCTTTTTTTATTTATACTATGGGCAAAGCATGGGCTCACAAGAATTCCTCCATTGTTTTACCATGAGTCTCAAAACATTTGGTGTTTTTCTAAAGGCCTGGAGTCAGTTGATTATGTAGGAATCTCAGCTTTCATTTAAAAAAAGTTCTCTCTACTTCTAGGCCTTACAGCTAAGGAGGAAGCTTTAAAACATGAACCCTACACAGAATAGGCCTTTCCCCCAAGGCCTCTGAGAGTGAGGCATCATTTTCCAACATTTAGGATGACTCTTAGAAGCAATTTCCTGCTAGTGAAATCCGTCAGCCTGGAGAAGCATCTCTGGAGCGAGACGGGGGAGTGCCATGGCTCAGAGAATCTGAAATGAGGCTGGACAAAGCACATGGAGAGTTTATAGGAGAGAACAATCCTGTGGTAGGAGCTTGGAGTTTAGAGGAAGGTTTTCTTGTCTCCCGTCCTGTTGATGAGCCTGGATGGAATCCCCCCTCCCCCCGCCTGTGGAGGGCCCACGTGCCATGAGACTCCCCAAGTAGCGTAGAGGCCTATTGCAAGCAATGCCCATGAGGGCAAGTCTCTCCCTCTCTGGATCCAGTGTGTGTGAGAGACAACAAAACACAACTTGTCAATGGAGGGGATGGAACGTGCACATGGCTGGGGACAAGGCCCAAGCAGGTGAACACCAGTTACCATTGATCAAAGCGCCTGCTTGCAAACTCCACAAGCACTTGGAGTGTTGAAATAGCCGAGGGGCAGGAGGGAGCATGGGTTAAGTCAACGTCCCCTCTAACTTTTTCCATCCATGTGTGGAATATGTTTTGTTATATGCACCAAGGCAAGAGCAAATGTGCACCACCAATAGAAGCACATACTACCAGCTGTGGGTGCTCTGCTAATCAGGTCGGTGGCTCCGGAATCGCTCCTCAGCGGCTGCCCAGTGGCTCAGCTTACCGGGAACGCTGGTTAACTTATTGGCACTGATAGGATTGGTGCATCCTTTGCCCACTGCCTGGACATTGCACAGGCGAAAAAGGAAACTCCCAGCACAAAACCCAAATAGGATAATTACACCAAGTTTTATTGCTTCACTTTCAGAAAACTAGGCATCCTTCCACGGGCTGTGCTCGGTGCCAAAAGAGTTTAAATGGAAGCCTATCATTCTAATTAATGTTGTTATTACTATTTCAAGACCCAGTCCCACTGATATGGAACAATTGTGGAACCGACAATCCCCGCAGAGTTCAAAGTCCATGAGGAGCTTTCCAAGAACACACAAACTAGCTCTGCCCCCTTTCCCCTGGTCTGCATGGTTATTTCAGAGAAACGTAGTGAAGATCATCACGAACGGGAGATGGAAAAATAAATTCCATTCAAAGGGAGACCTCCCTGCTGCACAGGAGAAGAATGTAGAAGTCGGCCAATGTAGTTAATGTCATTGGAATATGTAACGATTACTCACTGGCTTTGTTTCTGGTGCGCTCTGGAGGCTGGGCTAACAAGCAGTAGCTCTAACCCAAAAATCAGCACTAGGAAGACACATTACCCCAATGGCAGTGAGCTGGCTGTGCCACCTGGATGCCACGCAGCTTTCTGCATGCATCCAGGGCTGGCTTTAGGCCGATTCGCCCGATTCCCCTGAATCGGGCCCCGCGCCTAAGAGGGCCCCGTGCCCTAAAGCCGGAATTGTGCTGGCGTGCCGGGCGCACTGCAGGAGGGGGCGTCGGCCCCAGAGGAGCATGGCGGCTTCCCTGTGCCACAGGGTGGGGAGTTGAGCACAGGGGTTTCCCTGCACCGCAGGAGGGGGAGTAGGCCCCAGGTTTGGTGGGAAGATGGGACTCAGCCCTGTAGCTGGGGATTTAAAGGGGCTGTGACTCTTTTTTTGTGTGCTGTTTTGGGTTTTGTTGTTGTTTTTCTGGTTTTTTTCTCAACAAAAAATCCTGGCTGCCGGGTCCCCGTTGAAACGGTTCGAATTGGGCCCCGCACTTCCTACAGCCGGCCCTGCGTGCTGCAACGCAAGGGCAAACAGGCCAAGGTGATGCCAGCCGAGGGCGGGTCTGCGCTGGGGCTTAGCGGAGACGTGTGGGCTCCCAGGCTCATCCCAGCCCATGCTGAAAGGGAGCTCGGGGGTGGGGGCTGGAGGTCTAGGGGTGCCCCCCCCCCGCAGGATCCTGCAGCCCCGGGCGCTTAGCGCCGTGTGGACGTAACTGGGGAGTCGTCCCTTCCTGACCACTCGGCTCCAGGGCGCCCGCCTGGGCTCCAGGCAGGAGCTGCTGGGTGAACTCTCGGGCGCGGCCGGGCGGGCTGCGGGCGCGTGTCTCTAGGACTGCTAACCCCCCTCTGCTCCTCTACCCAGAGATCCTCAGCAACTTGATCCAGAAGAAAGCTCCCGTTTCAGACTCCTCCGCGTACAAAGAGGTAAGGGCCCTGGCGGGGTGCCGGGGCAGGGCTCCCCTGGGGCACAGAGGGGGAAGGTCCCTGTCCGGGGACCCTGGCCTCAGCCATGCCCCAACTGCCGCCCCTCCCAGGGATGCCATCCACGCTGCAGAGGGCACGTTGCAAGAATCTACCCCCAAGGCACTTTTCAAAGCTCTATCGCCCCGGTGATGGGACAAACATTTCAACCCCTACATACTTCCCTCGGAGGATGGGGACGCACTGGGATGGGTCCTTAGGGAGGGGGTAGGATCTCCATTCCTAGCGGTTGGTAAATCCTGGGATGGGACGATCCTAAGTCAGCTGAGACTCCCTCACACACCCAGCAACTGGTCCCAGCCCTGCCCTGCCCCCCTTTCTCCCCTTCCCCTGCAAGCTGGGTGTGACGGCGCATCGGGGCGCCCCGGCCCTGCCCCCCGTCCGCAGCCAGAGGGGATTCTCCGCCGGCCGGGAGAGGAGAAGGTTTTACTGCGTCTCCGACACGGCGCAGCGCAGGGTCCATGCTGACAGGGGCCAGGGCAGAGCCTTAGTCCTCCTGGGGGGAGGGGCGTCACCCCCTTCCTTGGTCCAGAGCATCCTCACTGCCCTAGCCCCGAGACTGACCCAGCTCCCCGGCCCTGCGCCCAGCCTGGGGCCAGTCCCTGCCTCCCTCCCTCTGTCTCTCTGGGAGCAGGGTTGTTACCTGCCCGGGCTGGGCCGAGGTGTCTGGGCCAATCCACTGGTGGAGTGAGTCAGTGGGACCCACCCAGCGCACGACACAGCCGGCGGGGACACCGGGCACAGAGCACACAGCCCCCCACTGCGTCATAAGGGGTCACCTGATGACTTTCGAGGTCCCTTCCAGTCCTAGTGTTCTATGAGTCTATGAAACTGAGGCACGCACAGAGTCACTCCAGAGCAGCACAGGCCCACAGGAATCCCGTGCAAACCCTCCCCACTTCGTTACACGTGCTCCAGACTCCCTCCTGCCTCCCCACAGCCTCGCACCTCCCCCGCAGTGGCCACTGGGCGCCCCCTCACTTCCCGCCCTGAGCTGCCAGGCTGCGTTACACTCCACCGTGTTCTGCCCCAGAGGCAGCTGCATTCCGGGCGGGGGGAGGAGCGCCGCGGGGCGGACGTTGCTAGCGCTCGCGCTCTTGCCCTAGGTGCTGGTTTACGAGGTGGGTTTCCTGGTCTGCACCGCCATCGGCCTCCTCTTCATCCTCCTCGTGCCCCTGGTGGGCTTGTGCTTCTGCTGCTGCCGCC